TCAGCTGCTTACTTCGCCTATTGGTTTAATCCACTTTAAACCCTGTTGTTGTCATTACTAAAGATATTAAGTCAATATAACTTGATATTAATAAAAATACCAAGTTTTGGCATCAAATGTGTGTTTAACTTACTCATTAGGCAGCAAAAAACTTTAATTCATATTTTAAGTTCTCTGAACTTAACATTTTAATTTCTTTAAATGATTCACCATGTCTCTGTTTAAAATGATTGGTTGTGCTTGAGATTCTGCCTTGACAACCGCACTGATTGGTCAATATATGTTATTTGACTCAAGGTGGTCATTTTGCTTGTGATGCTGAATTCTCCTGAAGCGCAGCAGGACAGAGGCACTACCTGAACCCATCTGACGAAAGGGAAAAGTTAAATTAGTTAGTAGATATTTAAATGCTGATATACATTTTTCTTAATTTATATACACGCTGGGGCAACACAGTGACTTAGTGGTTAGCATTGTCGACTCACAGTAAGAAGGTCGCTGGTTCGATTCACGGCTGGGCCAGTTAGCCCTTGTATTTTAAGTTATCTGTGCTTAAAAATTTAATTTAATGAAGAGACCACATTTGGTCAACTCAATTAATTGAATTGTAGAGTTATAGATTTGAGTAGTCTCAACTTATTAGTGTTTACAGTGTGAGTCAAAGAGTCATTCTGTGATGCTGCAGTGATGCTGAGTAAATAAGAGATCAGCTAAATCATCTAATAAGTAAAAATACAATTCCATACATATTCAAGTATAAATCACTGGCGCAGAAAACAAACAAAACCTACGTGAGACCAAGAGACTTTATTGAAAGAAAAATCATGAAATGAAGTCATACAATGCGTCATTCAGCAGCAATCATAACTTAAAGATTGTCACACCCTTCACAGTGGTTCAAAAGATGCCTGAAGTTATATATTTATCGTTTTGATTATGTCTATTTCTGAGAGAACGAGACCATTGTACCAATCGCACTGAGACATTTCAAATGATATCAAACATGATAGTTAAAGTCAGTTTGGTTAATCTAGAACATTCAAACATTGAAATGACCATATGCGTGAGTTGGGGGGATGAAGCTGAGTTTCAGCATACTCAGATGCAAATGCAGCAGGAACTGGTTTTTCCCGCATTCCCCCTGGTGGGTTGTGGAGTCCATTGGCCCTGTTTTCAGCTCATGTTTTGAATTGTCAAAGACATCAAAAATATTTGTAATATTTCAATTCTTACAGACCTAAAATAAATGATTATCTTTGCAAAACGCATGATCTATTTTGTATATGGTGACATAACCTGTTATATGATGTTATACTGGAAAAAGACTGCCAAGGGTGTTAAGACATTCAGAATAACACTATTTCAGACTCAGAATATGGCCATGATTATACAATTATAAGTCACTGGAGCACAATTAACTGTCTTTAGAAATAGAAATGACAGAAGCAAATACATATTCATTTTTACCTTCATAAGTATCCTTGCAATGACGTGAAAATGAGATCGCAATGAAAAATGAGATTTTATGTCATATTATTAATCACATAAAATCTTACAGCAGTCAACACTGAAATCCATACATAATACATTACGTTTGAATGAATCCCATTTCTGTGATATAAATAATCAACATTCTGAACAGAGAACTGTAACATTGAGCAAATACAGCAGAGATACAATAGAACTCACAATGTAGTCACCATCTATTAAAACCAAGATTGGAAAAAAACTTGAATATATTTATTATTTATTACAAATTTAACAGCAAATGACCTGTTAAAAAGTCACAACATTACATTCAAATCAGCTTCTGTTACTTGCTGCTTTACTTTAATCACAGTTGCGTTGCTCTAAAGGGTCAGTTCTTACATGATTAAATGAATCTTTATTAAGTATGTCTGGACGAATGTGACACCGTCACACTTTCAGATCCAAGTCAATGCAGCACATCACAGTAATAAACAAAGATGTAAACAAAGTACATTGCTTTATGAACTATTACAATTACTTGAAGCACAGTCAACATTAATTAAGTCGAGCCAAGTAAAAATGTCAAAGATTAAACAATCAGGCCCTTCTGAAGGCTGAAATAAATCATTAAACACTGACTATTATCTGGTTTGTAATCAACAACTATTTTCAGACCAAAGAATATCATGCGCTGAATGAAACAAACTGTGTTACTAAGAGTAAATCAAGAATAAATGTCACCTTCAAATGTAAAACATCATTTTGTTTCCTATAAAAAGCGATTAGTTACTTTAATGAAGGGATCAAAACCGCTGCCTTAAAAGTGACCAATTGACTTCCCTTAAAAATATGAGGACCTATTAAGTTGACTTAACTTACCTTTTTATAGTCAACTAATTGCTTTTTACAGCGTAATTAAAATGAGATTTTATTTTCTCAAAATCACAACATTTATGACTGCCCGTTTCGCCACTTACAAATTTAAAATGAAGCATGTTTTCATACAATTTATTGCTCACATTACATGTATGATAACTTAAATACATTTGAATATACTGTATAAAATGAATAAAACAATTAGTTTGAAATAAATAAGAGTAATAACCGCTAGACATTCAGCATGCTAAGTTTCTGTGCTATAACTCTAAACTAGATTTAATTAAGAAGACGATGCATCATATTCTTGAACACAGACACGATTCCAAAACTGCCTAAATAATGCTTATTAGAATAATTTCAATGCAGACAATAGTAAATACAGTATATGCACAGAGATTTGTTTGTTTTTTGATGGAATGATTGATTTTAATCGGGTGAATTACAGTAAATGCGATTCAGTAATCCTGAGAAACAATCTTCAGACTATATCCCAGATCAAGAGAATTGATGAGGCCCAAATAGTTCAAAGAGAGAGCAGAACATCTTCGATAAATAGAGCATAATGTGACTTCAGGAGGTGGTCATGGTTGAAGGGTCCGTCCACATGGCTGCCACATCTCTGAACCTGCACAGTAGAAAAAACACAGTTAAGCATGTAGAGCATAATGATCAGTGACTGACAAATAAGAGTGTTCACAGTCAAGAAAAGCCATTTTAAACACTCAATTATTACACTCCTCTGATTTTAAGAATGTAATGTCAGTTTTAATCCCATCCCCCACCTTTCTTATGAGAAACATTATTTTTAACAAAATGAAAATGTCGTAACTATAAGATTCAGTGCTTCCCACAGCTATAGGAGAGCTCTAAAATCTGCCAGAATTGAGCACCTCCACAAACCGATTGAAAATAATCATAACAGTCTTAGATTTTTATTTAACACCATTGCTAAATTAACAAATAATCAGTCATCTTTGGAACAAAATGTCCCACCGCAAATTAGTAGTGATGATTTTTTTAGTGATGAAATAAAAGCCTTCAGACAGAAAATAGAAGACGCTAAACTTTCTGCACCGCCTTATACTTCTCAACATTCCACTGAATCTAGATAATTTACAGTGCTTCAAAATCACAGAACAGGAAGGAAGAGCTAGATAAAATGATAAATGGTTCTAAACCAGCTAAATGCATGTTAGACTCAATTCCAACAAAATTAGTGAAAGAGCTGCTGCCTGTAATAGTAGAAGCTCTTCTTAATTAAACAGTTTTCAATAAATGAGATAAATGCAGCTTTATGTGCTGTTTGGGCTCATTAAACTATTGTAGACATGGTGTGAACTACTCTTTCATTCACTGTAACTGATCTCCAGAAAATCTAGAAACAGGGACTCAGCAGCTGGTCTAAAACGGGATGGGGAGCAGATCAAATCAAATGATATGTATTACCTAAAGACTAAATGAAGAAAAAATATATATGGAGCGGTACAGGAGCGGGAGTCATTTTAAATAGGAGCGGGATGGGACAGGATCATTTTTTAAACTTTGGTCTGGGAGTGGGACGGGAAAAGATTTCTTTCTGTGAGAGTGGGAACGGGACAGAAGTGAAAATTCCCTCCCATGTCATCCTCTGTTCCAGACACGGCTGTGTCTTTTGTCTGACAAAAGCCGAAAAAAGACTTTTGTACTAAACCTGTAATGGCAGTTTCTGTTTCTACTAATAAGCACTGCCCACTAACTTGTGGATTTAACTGAGTGTCAGCTGCAGTAGTTGAGAGATTTTCTTGATGAATCACAGCAACGGCGAGTTCTTATTAAAGGATTCTGCTCTGAAGATACCCGAAAAATCCTCCTGGTTTGTCTCGTCTTTAAATTCACAACATATTCATGAAGAAAAAGTCAGTCACAGAGATATTACAGATGATACATTTGTAAATAATGTTTACTTTGTTGCACAGAGAGAGATTCCTTTGCTTCATAAGACCTCAGTGCATCGTCAGGACTTGAGTGTATCGTTACACCCCTATCTTTGATACAGTTTCCCCAAAAACTGGCTCTCAAAGTTCATGAGTACTGGCCTGTGAACTGGCATCCACACCTATTAACAGAACAAATGCAGGAGAACTGAGAAATACAGAGAACATTGAACACAACATTAAGCTTGGTTAAACTGTGCAACTGTCCAAATCTGTTATAAAACACTAATAAATCTAATGGAGAATTTCCTGATTTACAGTAAAATACTGTTCATTTTTACAAAGCGACTGACATTCCAGGAGTTTCTAATGGCACTTCACATTTAACTCTTTATTCACTTTTATTTACTGATTGTTCTTAATTGTTCTTATTATAAACAGGTTCATGTTAAATTTTGTTATTAATTTTAGGTTTTTGTTGCATGTCTCAGGGATGTCAATGGGAAGCACCAAGGAATATCATGCAGCTCACACTCCTAGGAAAGTGCCAACTTCACCCTAAAGTACTCCAGCTGATACGGGGGTATTGGAGAAACTCAGGTTTACCTGTTTGCTTTAGCCAAGACCGGCCACTGCTCCGCTCAGCACAGATGCACTGGCTCACTGCTGGCTTCGGACATGTGTATCAGGCAAGTTTGCGTTTCCCTAGTGAGTCTTCTTGTACAGACCCTGGGCAAGGTCAGGGAGGACGAGGAGCAGATCTTGCTGGTTGCACCACACTGGCCCACCCAGACCTGGTTTCCAGAACTCACACTCCTCGGGACAGACCCTCCCTGACAGATTCTCCTGAGGAAGGACCTTCTTTCTCAAGGAGGTTTTCCATCTGGCACTTACGTCCAGATCAGAAAAAGGAGAAGGTAGTTGGAATTTTTATAGATTTAAAGAAGGCATTTGATACAATAAATGATAATATATTGGTAAATAAATAGATAACTTACATTCAAGCACATTCAGGGCAGCACGATCATGAGAGATGTAATTCATTGTTAGTATTATTGTCATCATTAATATTTAATAATGATTAGACATACATTTTGGAATTATTGCACACAAATATCAATAGCTGCTTTTCCACTATCGTGCCAAACCATTCTAAGAACACTTCGGTACGGTTACGGTTGTTTCTCCACTGAGCCTGGAACGGCGCGGCACGATTACAAACCGTTCTTGGCCCGGAATTCTCGGCACGGTTAGACAACCGTGCTGAACTGTGCTGACAGATTCTGTGTGTTGACGTCGCGACTCGGTTGCTAAGCTACCACAGCTGGCTCAGCAGAAGCGCGCTAGTCATCAGACATCCTCAATAAACTACAGTACATTTAATATAAAATAATGATCCAGATCTAAACGAAACAGTTTGAAAAGGGTTTTAAAACCATAGAGCAGTCTCTGGCAGAGAAGTGAATAACTCATCACATTCTTACGAACATATTTTATTCATTAAAGTTATTATTTTATTGACGAATACAGACCTACTTCGCCTGCTGAATGTGAGTTTATTGTGCTGTATTTCACAGCACAAAACTCGCTCTGATCCGGGAGAGACATGCCAGCGACTTGCGCTGCTGACTTTTTTTCCTGCTGCGCATCGAATAAAGCGAATAAAGTCACGATTTGCATCGTCGATGTCCAAATTCCACAACTACATCACTATATCCATGGGACACGAACTTGCAGACTCTTTTAACAACGAGGAAATAATTGCACTTTTTAATTCAAAGCCAGGACAGCTTGTTAATACCGGCGAGACCACCTGAAGGACGGCGTGTTCGTGTTGTAATGTCGGCCGTCCAAAAGACTTTGCTTGAAAGCTTTACGGAGCGGCAATGTAACTGTCCAAGGTACTGTTGTAGGATTTATATTATAGCGTATGCACTAATGAACAAGTCAAAAGAATGAATGAATTAAATAAATATGGATTCTTAAATGTCAGTATTGCTTTTACTCAAAAAATATCAATACGTTTTGACAAATGTTTGATTTTCATCATTTCAGCTCTAGGCAATTATATGATTCAGTTATACATAAGTTGTAACATGTTTCTGTGTTTTTGTTTTTTTGTTCATGTAACATGTTTCTGTGTTTTTGTTTTTTTGTTCTTAGTGATCTTTAATATAGCTACGCAAATATTTTCTAAAACGTCTAGTAATAATTTGCCTACAGCTTGTTAGTTAATTATGAACAAATAATAATAATAATAATAATAATAATAATAATAATAATAATAATAATAATAATAATAATAATAAAATGATCAAAATAAAAAGATAATAGAGCAGCATTTTGCTAAATATAATAGTGCTTTATATGCTTTAAATCCTGCTATATATGTGTTGTTTCATATTCGTTTTTTATTTCACTTGCTGCATTCGTTATTTAATGTTTGAATAGTAAAACAAATAACAGCCATCGCTTAATTTCATTTTACCATCATAATGTAGTATATTTTATATCATTATCAACTTTTGATATAAAAACGCAGTGTAATTTAATTAATTGTTAAAAATGAAATAATTTATGTGCTGTGTTTTTATTAGTGAAAGTGCGCGGCTCACCTTTGACAAGGCCTGTCCAAAATGATATTTCTGCCACTATAATGCAAATGCACTATTATTGTTGTCTTATCATTGTTTATTTTTCTGTTATGTTCAGAGATTTTAAATTTTATTTATTTCCCCTCCAATTATTTTCAATCATCACGTTACATTTTGGTAATTTTCCCTCCAAATAAAATTTAGCCAGAGCTGCGCAAAATATAAATAAGGGTGCACATGTACCTATATTTAGCACCCCTATTTGATAGAGCGGCATAACAGTGTTTAGTCACATGGTTGCTTTTGCTTTTATGAAAAAAAAAATTAGTTTCGGCTCTTATTTAACTTTAATTGAACAAAGGGAGTCGTTTACATTGCGTTACCAAGGCATCTACTGATGCGTTTTGTATAATGTTTTAAAGAGCTTTGTCGCAGCACGACAGTGGAAAATGAAACCGTATCCGTGCTGTCTGGCCCGGTTTGGCACGGAATGGAACAGTTCTGTTTAAAGAACGATTCAGCACGATAGTGGAAAAGCGGCTAATAAGTCATCTCAGCATTAGTTAGATAGTTGTTTCTGGTTTTTGTTAGTCCTAATTGATGTTGTTTTCAAATACAATCAATCCCTTAAAATACAAAAAAGTCATTAGACTGATGGAAAATGTGGGCTATTTGGAGCATACAAATCCTTTATAAATAAAACGAGAAAGGTATGATGACATTTTAATTATTTGCAGTGTATTTTTTACAAATGGAATCAAACATATAATTTGTCAAAGATGCCAAAAGGATAAAATATATTTTATGAAAAAGAAGAGATCAGTGAAAGAAGAAATCAGTTTAAGTAATAGACGAATGATGTGTGTGGTAATGAAGTGGGAAAATAATAAGCTTGTGCTTCATCCCACTCCATTTTCCACCATGTTGAAATGTATTTTTTGTTAATGATGTTTTATGTATGATATTTCTGTTTGAAAATAAATAAATCAAATCAAATCTCTGAAACCTTCATGTGTGATCTATAGACATGACATAGAAACCTTAAGTGACCTGCCAGCATCGGTAGCTGACCTCTCATGACCTTTTGGGATCACTCTGTGGTCCTCTGCGCACTGCAAAGAGAGCCGCTTGATTCAGTATCTTTAAGTTTTCTTTTCTTGAAGACAGCTCTGCTCATCACACTGGCTTCTATTAACAGAGTCCGGGACCTGGAGGCATTTTCTGTCAGCAAATCATGCTTGGAATTTGGGCCAGCTAACTCTCACATAGTCTTGAGACTCTGGCCTGGCTATGTGCCCAAGGTTCCTACCACTCCAGATCAGATAGTGAGACTTTAAGCATTGACCCTGGAGGAGGCTTACTTAACCCCTCCATTGCTGTGATCAGGTCGCACACTGGGTGTTTACGTGGCCCAAACAGAGCATTCTCTAGTCTGTTTTTTTTTTCTTTTTCTTTTTGTTTTATTTTGCTTTGTGTCTGTTTTGGCAGTCGGCAGAAGGAAAGTGCCATATCCAAGCAGAGGCTGGCACACTGGGTTGTGGATGCCATCACCCTTGTGTATCATACCCAAATCAAGGTGTGTCCTCAGGGATAAGTGCACACTCAGCTAGAAGTCCCGCATCCTCCTGGGCATTAGCAAGCAGAGCCTCTCTAACAGACAACTGTAGAGCTGCGGGCTGGGCAACACTTAAAACATTTGTGAGATGATTTGAAACTATTTAAAATTATTTATTTTTTTCACATTGTCATTATGGGGTATTGTGTGTAGAATTTAGAGGTAATAAATGAATTTGACTCATTTTGAATTAAGGTTGTAACATAAAAATGTGGTTAAAGTGAAGCGCTATGAAAACTTTCCAGATGCTCTGACTGTACTGATACTTTACATTTGTCCATGACAGGGTTGACACAATGTGAGGTTTGTTTACTGTTTTTCTACTTGCAGATTATTTGTAAAAAGTGCAGGAGCTTGACCAACATTCATTTCTTACAGTCCAAGGCAGGTGTGGGCAAACTTGATCCTGGAGGGCCAGTGTCCTGCATAGTTTAGCTCCAACCCTATTCAAACAGACTTCCCTATAGAGTTCAAGTGATCTTGAAGACACTGATTAGTTTGTTCAGGTCTGTTTGATTAGGGTTGGAACAAAACTCTGCAGGGACACCGGCCCTCTGGGATTAAGTTTGCCCATCCCTGGAATAAGGTCTAATTAATACAACAACTGTGGTTAAATCAAAACTCTCAAACAATTTTGTTTTATAATTTTGATGTCTCGAAGGCACTTTATTGGGAGAAAGACCCTTATACAATTCGGGTGAGTAATATGTAAGGTAGAGTAAAATGTCATGTGTAGTTAAAGGTATGTAAGTGTATATATTTACCACCACCTACTGGAAGTTTTAGATTCTTATTTTGAAGACTATGGTGTGGTCCAGAATCTTCTGCTATCCAGAATCAGGTGGTTTGTCTTGGTTGGGCATCTCAGCTGAGACCTCTCCACAATGGGTGACCCCACAGTAGCTGTGAAGTACTAGTGGCGTGAACCATTTGGGTGAACTCATTTTTTAAATGTGATCTTGAGATTTTTTAAAAGTTTTTTTTGTTCACAGTTTTGACTTTGATACTGACTGATCTAATGTTTATGTACGATTATTAAAATAAAGCATCTGCAGACAATATTAATTTGAGAGATCTTTGAGGAGTGTGTTTATGCATATATATGCTTCAGTGTTAGAAAAGCTAGTCTGCTTGCATGACCATTGCCAGGTCTGGGCTGTTTTATTATTAATGTAATATTAAATTGTTAATATCAGTTAATGTCCTGTGAGTTCACGTGAATTAACAATGAAACTTTATTTACATTAACCAATGTTAACAAATAATAAATACTGTAATAAATGTATTAGATATTACCAGGTTTGACTTTTTTACAGTGGAATACTGGCAACAGTGTTAGTCACTGTAACAGAGCAGTAGCGGAAACTAACTGGAAACTGCTTACAGTTAATTACTGTACTGTAGTTCTGTACTCACAGCATAATCACTACTGCACACACATTAATGGTAAATCATATATACAGTAGTTATTGTAGTTTGACTCAAATTAATCAGTTTTCTGAACTGTTCTCAAAAATAAAAAGCAAATCAATTCATCAGACAAATGTATTTTATTGTTTTGGCGGCAAACAAACATACAACAGAAAATGTCTGACAAAATTAAACAAATCAGCAGGTATGAAGACATTTTCTATTCACAATGAAACAAAAAGGTTCAATAATGAACAACACATGCAGTGTATATACAGTAGGACTTGTGTGTTGAAGTAGGGGGGGGACTCCAGGAATTGAGTTTGACATCGATGGTTACAGTGTTGGGGGTAACGCATTAC